TGCACAGATGGAAGGCTGACAGGCAGGTAGGCCATCCAGTTATTTTAGCCGGGCCGGCTCAGATGATTGGTCGTGCTTTTTACAGTACTACGGCTTCCACAGATGACATTTTTTTAATGTATTTATTGTCAAAGCATTTAAGATATTCATTGCTATCGGGATGTTCAGAGCATTCCATGGAATATAACAAAAAGTGTTTCTGAAATAAATGACCCCACCTTTAATACATCGAAACCAGAATCAGCTGTTCAGAGCAGCAAATTAGTCACTATATAGTTATACATGAATCGCTAAAAGAGACTGGTTAAAGCTAAGCTTATTCATGTGAAAGTGTTATTTAAGATGGGTTGAATGACATCTTTATCGAAAATGTTCTTCATGGTTACTTATCTCCCCTCCATGAAAAGAATAACATGAATAAATATAATGTAAGTGTTGGTTGGGATTAGTATTCCTGATAGTGCTTCAGAGCTTTAAAAAAGCAGAAGAGTGTTTTCTTCATCTCATCATGTTCTCCTATTTGGCCACATAAAAACTCCTGCTGATTTATTTTAAAGGCAATTTATCTGTCATTGGCATGGTATTCAGTTGTGCTCCCTTTGTGGTTTCCATTGGCGGGCAAACGTGCACCAGGAATGCACAACAAGCAGAAACAGTTGAAATCAACATTGCATGGACAAAGGCATTGGTTTGCTTTGGGGGCTCTGAGAATAGAAGCTGTGGCTGAAATCCACTGACACACTGCATAGATGGAAATTACACATTCTGCCTTCTGAAGCAATTTTTCAGAACCAATCTGTGATGTTATCAGATCAGAAAGGAAACACGGGTGGAAGCGATGCAAGCGGAACAGGAGGGAATGCACTGTGCATTTTTTAAGAATCTCAGTAAAAATACTGAACACACAGGGTAAGGATTTAGCAACCAGGAACAAAGAAGCAGTGATAAATAGCTTTTCCTGTCAAATACATTATTTATATGTTCTTATGGGAACTTCTGAAATGTCCATTGTTTGAGAGGCAAGATCCTCTGATCATAGTATTTCATTCAGGCAAGTCTTTCTGAAAATCATTGACCTGTATACCTCTCTTTTGTAACTAATTGTTGAATATATTGGTTTATTTTTACCTTAAAAGCAACCATTTGATCTTGTATCTGGGTTATGGAGATGCTTTAGTAACATATCATTAAAAGCAAGGGTTGTGGGAAGACTTTTAAAACAATAACTCTTAACACAATCAATCACAATTCTGTAGGGGTTTATTTTCTCTTACTTACCCATTACTCAAACAGACTTACCATGTTATGATGATCGTTAAAATCAAGCTATTATATGATTTATTAGCTTTCTATTAAATGCTGGATATTTGCCAGTCAGCGCTTGCAACAGTCAGAACAATGAGGCTCACTCCCAGTGTGAAAATATTGCCAAGCAGTGTTTAAAAGTGGCAATTAAGTATAATTTTGGCACATATTATTCACTAATTAAAGTTTCCATCTGTCTTATAAATGAGCATATATCAAATACACTAAGGTTTCTTAGATGATATGGTCTTTTTCCATTTGAAGTATTATTACCGCCACAAATCCTTCCAGTAATAGCCTTATAATTATATTGAGAAGTAATCCTTTCCGTCTCATTACAGTATAGTATGTAAATGGAAGTATTTATTCAGGGAGGGAGGCGTGTGGTGCAGTGGGTTGTGTGTTGGGTTCAAACCCCATTGCAGTCAGCATGTCGTTGTGTCCCTGGGCAAGACACTTCACCCCAAATTGCTCCTGTGGGGATTGCCCACAGCATTGAGTATGACGCTTTGTATAAAAGGGTCTAACAAGTAACATGTAATGTAATGTAATTTATATAAGAAACTCAATGTACTGTGATGCAATACAACATCACCACTAGCTGACTGAAAAGTGACCATAGAGTTCAATAAAGCTGTACATAAGCTTTCAAATGTTGCATTTATTGCAGCAATATTGCGGAGGATTGCATTAGATTGTTCAGGTGTACCTAATAAAGTGAAAGCTCAGTGTATACCCCAGAGTTTTTCCTCAAATTGCATAGTCTCATAGGGTCACTCTGGCTGAAAGAGCTAAAGTAATGCAATTAGTCGGGTTTCCAATGGAGAGTTTTAGAGCTATATGGCCTAGATGGACTTTTAGAGGCTTTCTGCCAAGACTGAAATTCTGCAGAACATAAATGAATGCCTATATCTATTTTTGGCATTGGAAAGAGTCACATTTAAAGCCATCATAAGATGTCTTCACTTATACTGTAAAAACATTGGCCTTAAAAACTCCATACTGGTTGAGCCTTCATTAAAACACAACTTGCTGTACAAGACACATTTGCTGGTCCAACTGACAGGCTGTAATAAATCAAAGGGTCACTTCGGCAGCTCCCGGACTAATGACATGCCACAGTAATTGTGGCTCGAGCAGGCAGGGTCACTGATCGTCTGACAGGAATGAAGGGCCTTATTTGGCATTCACACCTGTCCTTTTGAATCTGCCGCAAAAATAACCCCTTTCCCTTTTTTAAAACAAATGATTATGTGCGGAAAAAATGCACGGCCTCCTGGCTCGGAGTCATTCGGTGTGCTCGGCTCATCTCACAGAGTAATGCACATCAAGCTTTAATGGTTCAGAACAACATGAGTGAAATACTGGCTGCATATTACGCTGTGTGGCAGGCCGAGGGAGGACAGAGCCATATTAATCCAGGAGGCTGACACAAAGTCCATTAGGATCCCTCAGCCAGTCTGAATGATATCTAATGTCCTCCTTACCAGCTTTTAAGAAATATTGCTGAGTTAACCGCTAACATGCCGTCTGCTGCTGTGTTTTGTTTCTAGGGTCTCTCTGAAGAATGCCAGTATCTGTTTCAACCTCAGCTCATCGTCCAGAGGCTCGTTGGGATTTCGGTGCTTTACCCTGGATACTTCATTGACCAGATGATCCCTGTCCATAACAGATCTGCACTTTATAAGCAAGTCTTCTATTATTCCCCACTACACCTCTTAATTTCCTTCTTATGGTTTTTTCTCAGTGTTCTCTGTGAGCTTATTGAGCATTTTCATTTTAAAAGATGCAATTTCAAAGTGTGTGCTTACAGTGTGAGCATCTTTATTGACTTCCTCTTCTCTAAAAGTCACCTCAACGTTGTGAGCAGAGGAATATGAAAAATGTTTTTAATATTCTTATATTCTTATATATCTGCCTAAAAAAAGCAAAGGATTTATTACCCTGGTAGCAATTCATATAATTAGAACTGAAAAGACACATTGTTCTTTCATAATAATTATTGTAACATTTTCTATCCAGTATTTTTATCTAATAAATATGAATGTGTGTGTGTGTGTGTGTGTGTGTGTGTGTGTGTGTGTGTGTGTGTGTGTGTGTGTGTGTGTGTGTGTGTGTGTGCTTGTGCTTGTGCTTGTGCTTGTGCAGAGTGTTCATCCCCAATTATATATCAAAGGTGAAGGTTCAGCTGGTAAACTGCAGCACCAAGAACAGGAGCAGCGACAGTTGTCCTGTGGTGTTGAAGATAAGAGCGCGGGCGCCGCCGGTGCATAACTCAAGTGCCCTCGACTGCAGGGAGTGGAACCCCTGTGAGTTAGACACGCTCGTGCCTGCCTGGGAACAATGGTACTACATCCTGGTGGAGAGATATCTAACTAACTCCAACGTCTACTTCCGCATTGGTGTGCAGGTCACAGGTGAGTGTCTTTTAAAATGTGATTAATGAGTCTGCGGCTTTGTTTGTTTTGTTTTTTCATTTTTATGAATTTCTGTTGCCTAAATGTAGGTTTCACGGCTTACTATAAAGAAAATACCTTTCTTTATATGAGAATTTTTTTTTAATCAAACATCAACGTCAAACAAAAAACACACTTACAGTAAACACTGAGAATAAAAAAGATTACCCCTCATCTATTTACCTTTCCCTTTTTTCTCCATACTGGTACCCCAATATATATTCAACTGTATTTGTAATGTAATGGCTACATTATAGATCTGACCCTCATAGTGTGATATTTGCTTTATTTCTTACATTTACAATCACTTATATGGGAAAATTATGGGTAGGTTATACGTTTATCATTTTTCGTATTATTTTATTAGGTTTAAAAATGTTATTTGAGTTCTCTAGTTTTTTTTCTCTTTTTTTCTTAATATGAAAATATCTTATCAGTATTTTTTTATTTATTTTACCAATTTGGCCAATTAAACAAAATGATGACATGATTTATGAGAGGTAATGTGTTTGTTATTACTCTCACTAGAATAAATTGCGTTTTGTTGACACATTCTGAGCGCTGTTTGCTTCCAGCCTCATTCAAAAATGTTCTTCCTGCTGCTTTTGATGTGCAATTCAACATGATACTGGGGTCGTTTTTTATAAACCTGAAATCTCATTAACTGCACCAAATAAAAGTGGATTTTTGCAAGTCAAAGAAGAAAGGATTTTGGTTTTATATTGGCCCAGGCTCTTTAAAAACATGACTGATTCTTAGGTGTAATTTATCCTTAAAAAAACAAAAATAAAATGTCTTTTAAAACTTTCCAATATGCTAAAGCTTCTCATAGATGCGAGAGGGACAAATTAATTTGGAACATGTGTACTGATCAGGAAACAATGGCCAGACACCGCCGGACAATTAGTAGAGTTGTTGGAGTAAAGGATGTAGCGTAAACAGAGGGAATTCTTATGGGATCGCTAGGAAGCCAGTGATCGGACGCTAAAGTGCTGCAGGCTGTGTGGAGAGAGTGGAGATATTTTTTATGCTCACTCTACAGGGATGGCTCAGAAATCTGTGGGAAGTCGTCTCCCGCGTAGCGATCCCCTGCCTGTGTTGGACACTGTACAGTGCACTTTGTCACCATAGCAACACAGAGACTAATTATTCACACTCTGTTTCTCCCCCCGCCTGCCGGGCAGATCTTACTTGACCTTTTTGTGGATTTCAATTGAAGAACACCTCAGGTTTAGAGAAAAGACCATCTGGAGTCTTCACCTTCTCAGGCTTTTCTCGCCATTATACCTTATTGTTGTTCCAAGCCTTCTTAGAATGATGTGCCCTTTACTCCAATCCAGTCTAATTTACATATTATTTTGGGAGCTGCATAGACAGGAAGTAGTGAAACTAGGTTGCACTTTATTATTTATTATAGTTGTTTATACCGTATATCCACGGCAGGTTTCCTGCCCTTTAAAATATCCGCATTGAAGAGAGAGTGTGTGTTGTGCTGTGTATGAAATCAAAAAGAAATCAGCTCTTTGGATTATAATGTTATGAAACAGTATGTTTACACAGCCCCGCCTCTCCCACCAACCCACAATTATGCATTCCTAAACATATTTGGGTCTTATACATCACATTTTCTTGTTCCTACCAAAGTTACAATTGCCTCGAGCCAGCAGTATTTGGTATTTCAGTATTTTTATGAGAGCTTCAGCTGTCTGAACGGACATCAAAATACTTCAAACCCTTTCAGAGACAACACTATGCAAACGAGGCTGAGCTAGAAAAGCCTTTGAAATCCTTTCCCCTTGGGGATTGGCAGTATGTGATGGTACTTTGCCAGTTGCCATCAATGACCATTTTGCAGAGTTGCTTTGTGTTGAGTGAAAGCATACTGTTTGCAATTACTGTGAATCTTTCTCTCATTAAAAAAACAGTGTTCGACGCTGAACCTCGCTGTTTACATTATTGAAGATAATTACATCATAAGATGATTACATTATTTATTATTACCTTATTATCGAAGGGGATCATTTCAAACATTTGCAAGAGACTTGGTTGCTTGGCATGCATAATATCGCAACTAAAATAACTGACTTGGTTATTGCCTGTTTGTTTGGGACTTACAGATTGGTTGTTTGACATTATGGTAGGCAGTGTTATTACATTACACAAGATGTAGCAAGGTACATTCTTGAAAGCTCTTGCAACAAGCCAGTAAAACTCCATCATACTGGGGTCGCTTTGATTGATTTTCTTTATGAATCTAATGTTTTCTCCTCTCACAAGATTGCTCCAAGACCAATTTGTCAAAGGACCAGTCTCAGCCCAGCTCCTCCATGAACATGCCTCAGTCTTTTGGAACGGCGATGGGTTTCTCTCTGTCTGAGACGCTGTCGGTGGCCTCCCTGCCCAGCCTGACGCAGAACGACAGTCACCTCCACACCTCTGAGGACAGCATCATTTACCTCCCCCCCACGGCCGACTACAACAAGTGCTGGCCCATCCGCCCGACCCTGCGCAATGAGCTGGACACCTTCTCTGTGCACTTTTACGTCTTCTTTGGTCCAAATATATCCATCCCACCGGACAGGGCTGCTGTGTTCGCCATTAACCTGATGCCTGTTTTAGACAGCGGAGGAGTCCTCAACATGGAGCTCAAACTCAACATGGTGAGTTGCTCTAGAGACACTATCTATTTTATTTAAAGGCACAATACATGATACAATGTTAAAAGAAATGTTTAACGCCAATTTGCTATTACAAATTCGTTGGAAGGTTTTTATTATGGTTATTTATAAGGTATACACCATGAAAAACTGAATATGAGTGATTAGGCGTTCTGGTACTGCTCGTATTTTGTTAGTTTTTAAACAAGAAAACATTAATGTTGTTTTATTAATGATGAGATTACAAGCACAACTTGCTTATTTTTGTTATCAAAACATGAATTGGGTTTAAATCCTTGTATATTTGTTTAAAATGTACACAAGGGCGTCTGTATCTGAATATAGTTTACTTTAAATGGACAAGTCTTAATATCAATGGCTATCACTTGTAGCTTGATAGCTAGCCTGCAACCATGAACAAAAAAAAAGAGAATAATGAGAAGTCTTTCAAAGTTCAACATGAATTCTCAATCTGCCCGTAAATATAGAGTCTGATAAATGTAAAGCGTCATCATGAGGCCATGATGCGGTTTGATGGGGAGATAAATCCTTAATGCGGTTGGCAAGTAAAAGAAGATTACCAGACACCTTGAGGATTCATAAAGGAGACATCTTGGTTCCAAATGTTGCCATCGTCAGCCTTCAACTGCTGCAATATTGCAAAAGATGAGATCAAAATAATTAAGTAAATATGCAACAGTCAGCGAAGGGAAACTAGGAAACGTGTCTGGCTCAGAGAGCATCTTAATATGGATGCTTTTCTAGTCATAAACGTTGCTGTGGAGCTGAAAAGGTTCACAATGGAAAGGGTTTGTCACACATTGAGAATTGAGAAGAAGAACATGCAAATATCAGCTAAGCAGGATCTGATATGTCTTTGTTAGGCTGTCCTTGAGATATTAATGCTACCTGCAGTGGCTCTGGAGAGCTCCAGGCTGGCAGATGGACTTTTGAACAATTCATTCTGATATGAAAAGCAAGGCAGCCAGTTTTGAAACAATGAAGCATGAAACTCTGTCAAACATCTTCAGTTCAAATGCTTATCCTGACATTTAGGAAATATCTTTTTGCGCTGTCTTCCTGGGAGTTGGATTGTAATCTGTTTTTATCTCTCTGCTTTCAGGAAAGATATTGGTCAAGGATATTTTTAGCCTGCAGATCTGTGCTTAGCACCAAAGGCAGAAGCAGGAAGAAACAACTATCCTTTAGAAAAAACAGAAAACTAAAACAACTGTCAGATGAACAGAGCAATCTTTCTGCAAGGTTCATTCGGTAGCTGTTGATGTCATTTTGATCTTATCACATGATTTTCCCCTGCAGAGGAAGTTGCCCAGTAATAATGTTTTCCTTTTTCTAAAAATATTTTTGATTGAAGACACATGACACATAGAAAAGACATTCTGTATATCAATGGGAACCACAGTTACAGATAAAAACAACTAGTGATCAGCTTAGTCTTAAATACTATTGTACATCAATTGAAAAGCCATACATAGTTTGATCTTCAATTGAAGGCGTACAAAATGTAAATGCACATTCATAACCAAAGCAAACTGTAAGACAGTGCCCAGTTATAATGTTATGGCATATGTTAAAAAGTCAATTTTTTCAGAGCGCTATAAGTATGCATTTTTTCAATTTTGCTTAAGATTAAAGGTTGATTTTTCACTGTGAAATACTTTAGCGTCATACACACAAAAGCTCCAAAAAAATCTACTGAACCGACTTTCTGATGAGATAAGACAACTGATGCTTGATTTTAAAATGATTTAAATTGTTTACATGTTAGCCACCAAGACACCCAAGACGTTTCTGAGTTTTTCAGCATTTCAACTGCAGTGAGCCTATGGACTTCTTTTTTTTAAAAAGCTTCAAAACATATATCATATTTTGCTGTTTTTTCATTATATAGGAAATTACTCTTTAACATTTAGATAAAATATCACCTCTAAAATCGATGAATGCAATATGTTTTTCGCTATACATGTTAAAGCGAAAGGTTTAAAGCTGTTATCATGCAGCCGCATGCTGTCTCTGCCTGCTTCCACTTTGTGATAAGCCAGCCTAAACTCATCTTTCATCTCCACTGCACACACAGAGATGAAATTGATAATCAATCTTCCCATCTAACCTCTAGTAGGAAAGCAAAGAGCCTTATTTCCCAAAATGTCAGAGAAAAACACAAACAGTTAACTGCAAGGAAAGAATATAATTGACAGTAATGAATATGATAGTTTATTGATTGACAGTTAGTTCAATTCTGGGGGGAGACCCTGACCCCTCCAACCCACTGTGTGTTTATTGATTAATTTTAACTCGGCAGATGTCACAGAGACAGTTTGCTGCTTTAAAACCGCTGTGTGAGCCGCAAGATGTATTCTTCAGAGACACTGTCATGCGATATTATTCTATGGACAGATTCCTCCCCCCAGCGGTGATCTGTCACTCGCTTGTCCCAGCAGGATCCAGTCAGGCGCTGCCACGGGGGGACTCTGGCAGATTTGCAGGGCTTTAGGAGACAATAGCTGGAGCTGCTTGTCTGCCTTGCATCACTATGTGAAAGGAATGCATATGGCTTTTCGTTCCACTGATACCTCAACCGGTGGTAAATCAGTTTAATTGCTTAAGATCCCTTTTTTCAAAGTTTTCTCCCGGTATGTAGACAAGACATTGTAAGCACTGCAATGAGCGTTAGTCCATGAGATGGTTGGACTTTTATTTTATAGTGTTTTTTTTACACACACGCATAATGAATTTAAATTAATGACTAAATAAGCATGGTAGATTACATATACATTTATTAATATAAATGTTGCCCCAAAAAAGGAAATGGCGATAAACAGATACAAGTTTTTCTAGATATTTTATTGATTTATGTAAATGTTCATTTATTTAAACAAATATTTCGATATTTTTAGGGATCCAAATGATGATTTAATTATTTGAAGGGATCATCATTTATATACTATTCCTTTATTTATTTATCTCTAGTTTTATGTTTGGGGCCCAAGGTCTGCGAGCATTTTTGTAAAATTATGTTTTTTAATATAAACGATTGAACTGAAAAATATGTTCATGTTTGCTGTTAAGATAAGATAAGATGTATTTTATTGACCCCAAATTGGTAATGCATTCATATTTTATCTGTTGCTAAGCAGCATTTGTATACCCAGAGGGGGGGATACTTAGGATAAAATATTTATTAATATTCTACTTATTAAGTTCAAGTATAATAAGTCAAAACAGAGCCTGTTTGATATTTTTCTGAACAAAATTCTAACTTATAATGGAGTTTATATTAATTAGTTTGGGCTCTAGGACGTGCAGCATACAGTCTCCATGCCAACTTCATCCATGTGTTTGCATCAGTTGGCATTGTGTCTCACTCGGCAGATGTCATAAGCGAAACTCCTGGGAAATGTAGCAAATGAAAAGCTACACAACAGATTACTATTATGAGAGTGGAAATCAGAAATCTGTAGTCATTATTTTAAAGCAATTACTCTGAAGTCTCTTCTACAGTAGTTTGCCTCAGTCAGTAACCTTGAAGATTTAATTGATGAAAGACAGCGCTCCTGTTTGAATTATGAACTCACGCACACATTCGTAACAGCTGCATAATGGATCAGGCATATAAATCACTATATTAAACAGGATTAATGTAGCAATGTTCACAGAAATGTTACAAAGGGCTCTACAACTATCAGCAATAAATAAAAACCCAAACAAAATGAGCATTACAAATCCGAGGTGAATTTAAAATGAGGCAAAAAACAGGCAAGCTCTACACCACTGGAACATAAATTAACAACAACGCCTTGCATGGGGAGGAAAGATTGACATCCTTTGTGAATGACTGGTTATGGAGATGGAGCTGGAAGATGGATTCAGACTCCAGAGCTACCAGTGAAATCTTAATGTGAGCTACACCCAGGCAGACTGATGTGGAAAACAAAGGAACCTTTTGATTTATACAACCGATCAATGGTTCAGACACGTGTTGAGAAGGATTTTACATATCCAAAAAGAATCATCTGTATCTTAAGAGCTTCATTAATGTAATATTCTGTTGGTGGTGGCATATTACATGAGGCGGCCTCATAAAACAACTCTTACCCAAAAGGGTATTCAAGATTCAAGTCCCAAAAGGATTTCTATTGCCAAAATATTACTTACCTGAACTACATTATATGTTTGAGTGCATTATGTATTATGGCTTAATCTAATCCAACCAATAAATGTTCATGTATTGATAAGTAATGAAGCAGATAAGTCGATAAGTAGTGGTCAAAACCGCATCCTGTTGAATTCACACTCAGCAACTTGCCTTAAAGGCACAAGGCTTGTCATTTTCATCATTATTGACACATTGAGGACTATGTGTGTGTGTGTGTGTGTGTGTGTGTGTGTGTGTGTGTGTGTGTGTGTGTGTGTGTGTGTGTGTGTGTGTGTGTGTGTCAAACATTAATATGCTAATTATGACAATTTCCCACAATTATCGAGTGATGACATTTTAAATATAGATGTTAATTACCACTTGGCTGGTTGATAGAGGCATACAACTGCGAGGGGGTAATACTTCACACAAAGGAAACACAAATATTCACACCTCTATGATATCAGTTAAAGCGAGAATAAGATGTGTTTTTATTTCTTGTTAGTTCATTTAAATTACTTGAGGCAAAAGTCCCAAAAACTGTTTTATTTTTGGCTGGATTCCTCCTGTGTGTCTCCTCATGCACATTGATGACTTTAGTTTTTCTGTATGCCAGGAAGAACGCACAACAATACTCTAACTTAAAAAAGCAGTCTTTTAAAATTATTGTTGTTGTGACTCTGGGCTTTATGTTTGAATGAACTTTTAATAGCACAATTGTACCCCGGGCACAGATGTGTACAGGGCATATCCTTGTAGCAGCAGTGCTTTAAACCTCTTTAGCAACATTAGCCACTCTGCTGTAGACATAAGTGCCGATGTACTGTAGGTTGAAAACTGCACATAGACTTGGGGTATACTCTGTGTAGCTATATTTGTCTAACAAGTATATGACAAAAATAGAATTTAAAAAACTAACTGTATATTAAGTGAGTGTTATGGGGTCAAGAGCAAAACTAAAATAAGATACAGCCATGCTAGTTTGTCTTGAGACGTTATTTGAGCTAAATGCTAACATCAGCATGCTTCCCTGCTTGCAACGGCATGGAAGTTTATTAAGTTAAGTGCAAACAATTACTAATGAGCACTAATGAAAGTTATGAAGTTATTTTGAAGCGAATGGTTGATTTTGTGAATTTCTGGTCATAAATATTGAACAAAAAATGTTACAGTTAAAGGCCTTGGTTTTTTTGTGTCTGGAAAACCATCCACCATTTTTTTCTCACTCAATCATCTTCTCACTGTAGAGCAGAGCTGGAAGTGAGGGGGGGGGGGGGGGGGGAGAGACTATCTTGAAATGCCATTGGGCGTGATTTAGTCTTACTACCAAGAGAGAAGGCCAGATGGTGAGTTTAGGAAGCCTTAAAAAACTCAGCACCTGGCAAAGCGTTTGTTGAGTCATTCCATTAATCAACAACTTTGCCAACTCCCGGTACATACATTATGCTCATTTTGGACGGGTGATAGAAATCGTATTCATCCAAGAAATAATTGCGATAAGTTCTCCCGACCACCAGGCACATCACCCTTTGGACACAAACGAATATGCTCTGCTGTAACCTCTCTTAAAAAGCAACTTTTACAATTTGTGATCGGCAGTTAAAGGTTCAGTAACTTCGCTGGACACTTTTCACAATAGTTGTAAAACATGTCACCTTCCCAAAGACAGAGACACTGTGAATAACTTAGAAGGAATTTAGAAACTTGGGAAGTGTCACATTTGATGCCTGAGTGCACACTGATACTATATGAACACATACAGTGATTTATTGCTGCTATTCATACTCCAGTAGTCCTTCCACCGGTAAACCAAATTGGACTGTAGTGGTCTCCTTTCACCTCTCTGCAGAATGAGTCAATTTGTGTAAGCATATGCAACTCCGAACGCTTGAATAATTCTCCAGGATTTATTTTTCATGCCTGAGCGTGTTAATGTATAATTGATGCTTTAAGGAGATAAACTGCCAACATCTTTATTTAGTTGCCTCGGGCAGTTAGAGGAAGAGCCGTTTCACTTGATTTGTTAGTTTTAAAGTTGACTTTTTCACAGCTGAAATGAGACCTGAAGTCATCACAAACAGCGTTAGCTTAGCAGCAGGATGGCAGCAGATGGTTGATGGTCGAATGGTTGAATGACATTAGTTTTTGTTTCATTTTGCAGTCTACGTTAAAAGGAGCTAATGTCACAGTGTTCGGCTGCCTGAACCACGGGATGCCTCTCTTCTTACGGGATAACTCATCATTGAAGTGTGAATCAGGTATGTCTAATATAACTTTGACAACTTGGACTGTGAGGCTCTTCCACATCTTCACCTTTGAGCAACAAAAACACTTATTCTCTTTCACCCAAAACGTTGGCCACTGTTTTGCCTAGTGTTCAGATAGCTCTTAAACTGACATCATCTTTCAGTTGAACTAGCACTCATGTTATCAGCACTCACAACAAGTGACATCTCAATATATTACTCACACACGACTGACATGTCACCCCCTTTTAAATGAAGTGAATCTTCAACTCCTTTCGGCACTTTATTTTCATCTAATTCTTGTATGTCACTGCTTGCAACTTAAATGTCACTTTATATTCATTCAGTATTCACTTGTCTAAACTCCATCCTCAACTATTTTAGTATTTTCTAATGTTTTTAATGCACAATTTCAGAAGCAGGAAAGCATATATTCATTTCAGAAGAGGTCAACTGTTTTCTTAATGCTGATGCATAAGCTCTTTCAGTTTCAAACCCTGTGATTTTTCTTTTTCTGTTGCAGAAACAGAGGCTGGGTTTTTCCTTTCTGTGAACACCTCTGCTAATATCACCAAGTTGAGGATCCCCTATCCACAGACAGGCACCTGGTACCTCAGTCTGCGCTCTCTATGTGGCACTGAACACGGGTAAGACAGGCTGCTTCTGTATTTATATAGATATGTGTTTATCCTTTATGATTACACGCTACTTTAGTGGAGATTGAGAAATGTAAAAGTGTTAAATCCAAAAGTGTATACAAAGATCAATGTCACGTAAATCTTACAAAAATAACAAACAACAATTAAAAAGTGAATAAGACAGCTTTAGATGTTTCAGTACGTGGATTTAGTTATCTTTGGACTGGAGCAACCTGTCCATGTTTCCCGTCTTCTTGAAGCTGGTGTTAGGATCATTTTTATCTTACAGACATGAAAGTCTCTATTTTCTCATCTAACAAGAAAGAAAATGTGCTTGAATGTCAATCTATTATTTTTAAAACAAAAAGATTGGTACGAATTGTTTTCTCTGGAGTTTTCTCTGAAGTAAAAATTCACGGAAAACAGCCGGATGACTTTGACAGTCTCATAATCGACTATTCAGCTTGGTCCCAGTGCCCCAAAGCAGCCTCTGTGAAACAATGTTGCTGTCAATTGCAGGATGACAGTTGCAAAATAGGACATAAAGTCCTATTTCTTAAAAACATATTTGTAACAGAATAAGTAATTTATTCCCCAACATTAATAAGTCAGTGTTCTAATGAAGACACCGTGCTCCCTGTTGAACGCTGCTGCCTCCAGGCCCGGTTCCAGAACAAAATGACTCAAGGTGCATCTGACATTAGAGAGGGTGCAGTGGTAAAATGCTATTTTTATAAGTGGGGAGTGGACCTAACACCCTCTAGGGGGGTCCTCACCTCCTCTAGGAGGATCCTCACCTTCTCTAGGGGGGTCCGGGGGCATGCTCCCCCGGGCAGATTTTTTTTTAAATATTGAAGTTAAAAGCATCAATCTGGTGTACTTTGAGAGCAAAATTAAGAGATCTATGGATCTATGTGCTCTTTGCTTGATTCATGCCTTCCCAGTCCCTTATCACGTACAAGAGCATGGCGCCAGTTGTTGTAGCCAGTTGTGGGGAAGGCATCTGACTTACTTGAACCGAAATGTCTACATGCATAGCAGAAGATGGCATCTTTTTTCTTTA